TGTGTCCCGGATGGTATAGTTGTGAAGTAACATGAACCGTTAAAGTGCTTCCTTCTGACAGCTTATCAATTTCATCTGACGGCAAACGACGTTTCAGATCGACGCCTTCAAACGTTATTAGGGTTGATAAAATATTTTCCTCCTATATATATATACAATTCATCTAAAAAGAAAGAAAAATTAGTTATAATAAACGATTATAGACATCAAATAAATTTTATAATCCTATATATTAATTTTACTATATTTTAAATTATGTTTTATAATTTTAATTTTTTATATTTAATATCTTTTAAAAATTTAGTATATTCTTTAGCAAGTCATGGAAACGAAGGCTAATTATTATTATTATTTATTAAGCTTCAGCCTTTCGGCCCAGAAGTGGACTTGGTTTAATACACGAATGCTGTTTATTAAAAATTAATATAGTTTTAGCAGAAGCTTTCTAGAAACCATTTTTCCAGAAATTAAAATTATTTTTCTAAAATTCACAAAAAAAAGTTTTTTTATTTTTACTAAAACTATATGAAAAAAGGGAAGCGGAATTAAAAGGCGAGCATTTCGTTGTTTGCTAAAACTATACGAAAAATTGAAAATGACGTTAAAAAATAAAAGAAAAAGATTTTTCATTATTTGCTACCTGTCGAAGGATTGAGTCATCGCAGTTAATTGTTCTCTATTGTAGTAGAGGATGCAAGTATGGTTTCTATACACAATTACACGCACGCAGGTTCGCTTTGATTTTCTAAACATATATCCCTATATCTAACTTATCGAAAATACGCATACATAAACGCAGAATATCACAACGCATACATTTATATTATATACATGTTTCACGCTGCAGTTAAAGGTAGAAAATTTCCTTATATAAGAAGATAGATTTTCATGCACTCGCAGCATCCAGAAGACCGTTAATCTAACGATCAAGGATTGATTAAAGGTTCTTCAGGACCTTATACTCTAAATTTAAATCAGTGAAAATTTCACTGAATTAAAATCAATGGCTCAGTTTTCTTTAATTCACCAGTGAAATTTCACTGGGAATCAGTAAAAACCACTGATTCTCAGTGAAATTCCACTGGTGAATTAAAGAAAACTGAGCCACTGATTTGAATTCGGTGAAATTTTCACTGATTCAGATTTAGAGTGTATAAATTTGGCGAAGCAGAAACACGCAAAAGCTGATAAAGGGGATGTGAAATTGAACTCTGCTTTAGGCTATGCAGCATGCAACCGGGAGGACCGGACCAACAAGAGAGAGCATATTCATGAGAAACATCTTCAACGCGCGGCCATGGAGGCGCAAAAGAAGAAACGAAGTACTGTCAGTCCGGAAGAGACAAAAGCCGAAGTGAAAAAGAAAGTGGAAGCACCTTCATTGAGGAAGGCTGCCAAGGTGACGGAGCCACCGAAGCCGAAGCAGTCTAACAAGACGAAGGATTCGAGAGGATCAACAGTGGTCGTCCGAGTGGCTTCAGGTAAGACTGATGTGTTGGGAAAGCTCCGCAAGAAAGTTAATCCTGACACCAGTCACACGAGAGTCTTGGGGACAAAGCTCACTAAAAAGGGAGACCTCTTGATCAGGGTCGGAGGTGACTTGGACAAGGTAGCTTTTACCGCCGAGGTGATCAAGATTGTTGGCAGCATGGGTAAGGTGCAGACGGTGGTTCGGAAGGTTACACTCGAGATCCGCGACCTGGATTTCCTTACCCATGAAGCAGAAGTCCAGGAAGCGCTGGAACGAGAACTCGGAAAGCCAGGAAGCAGGAAGGTGACGGTCTTAGGACCCAACAAGCGAGGGATGATGCTCGCAGTTATTGTCACCAACCAAGAAGAGGCTGCCAGACTGGAGGAATTGGGATGCATAAAGATTGGCTCTATGTGCTGCTAAATAAGAAACAGAGTCATGGTCGACCGGTGTCACCGATACCTGCACGGGAAAAAATTTTGCATGTTAACTGCACTGCCTACTGCGCAGCTGCAGCTCTCTAGACTGTGTGTTGACGCTGGCCAGTTTATGGGTAGGAGCCGTCCATACTATGAACACACGACATCTAAAACGCGTAGACAGGTGATGCTCCTCGAGTCGTAACTCATAGCAGGGAATTCAACTGAACAATGATTCTGTATAGCGCGTGCGTTGGTCATGGGCAGCACAGGTCCAGTAAATCTGATACTAGATTCATAGACACGTAGGCAGCAGCTACTTTCATTTTTGTACAAAGCGTTACCACTAGTAGGCAGCTCATGCGTAAAAATTTTTCCCGTGTGGGTTACGGCCATCTACCAAGAAGCTGTAAAGAAGCAGACAGATCCGCTGCGTGCTTTAAGTGCGGAGAAGCCGACCATAAGTTTGCAGATTGCAAGAGCAGCCCCAGTTGCATCTTGTGCAAAGCGAATTCCGACAACAAGGTTCCTCTCAACTACGTCGCTCGAAATGGAGCATGTAGAGTCTTTAGGTCAGCCCTCGAGGAAACCAAGAAGACTCCCAAGAACCAAAGCCAGGTAGGTCAGTAAATTCAGCAACGGCACGGGTCACGATAGTGAGATCTCAGGGACCTTCTCCTACGAAGTTAAAAGCTTGAAAGCAGTTCCATAGTTTGAGGATTAGTTCAGCCAAAGGGTGTGGTTTTTAGTGGGTCGACCAGAACAAGAACGGTCATCCCTACATAACCCCAACCTTCTTTTCTGAAATTTTCGTATTGGCTGGTACCAAGCAGGATGGTGACGGTCTTAGGACCCAACAAGCGAGGGATGATGCTCGCAGTTATTTTTATTTTCTAACTATATTATGTAATATTTTTATTTTAGGCTTTCTTAAAAGTAAAAGTAATAATTAATGAAATCCGTTAGTTTCCATGACATGCGCTACCAATTATAGTAAAAATAGATTTCAAAATATTAAATATCATTACAATTTTTCTTTCCGTTTAGACAATAATATTTTCCCCTTTATAATGATAAATTCGCGATAAAAGAAAAATCAATCACAATATAAACGATCGAACATTGTAGTACATGTATATGATTTAGTTGATATTTTTCTGCTTGTTAACTATACCATGTCAGAAAAAAATTGACATGAAAGTAATTTGTTGAATGATTTGACTCGCGCGAAAACTCTATAAAGAGGGAATGGAGTTTTATATATGAGGGTGCGAGTTTCTCACGAGGAGAGAAAAAAAAGGTTTTTCCCTATGTATAGGTAAGAAAAGAGTAGTATAGTAGTAGTAGTAGTAGGGTGAAACGACCAACTGCGACTGACTTTCCGATGAAAAATTAAAGGATTTTGATCAAAGGATGTTGGCTGTCACTTGCAGAAACAGTCATTATCGTGGGTGGGTAATGCAACGCACATAGTGCTTAAAAGCTCGTGCAAGTGTGCGCTGTGGTTGAAGCGCGGGCTTTACTCTCTCTCTCTCTCTCTCAGCCTTCCAACAAGTCTCTTGACAGCTCAGTAATTTCCTTTCAGCCTCTTCATATCGATGCTCAATCTCGGGCAATATTATATTTATACTTTACATAAAAAAAAAGGGAGCCCCATTATAAAGTTATAAATTATAAAAGTTTGGAAATTTAAAAATGAATTTTTATATTCGATACAACTTCATGTGGGACAATTTTAATTTAATTTCTATTTTTTCGAATTTTTATTTAATCGAATTCTATAGTTGTTGTAACAGGGATTATTTAAATTATTGAATTTTATTATCGATCGAGTAATTTATGGTATTACCTACATAGTACTCGGTCGGTAATTCACTGTTAAGAGTTACAGTATTTTTTAGGTTAGCTTTTACATAATATGTAAAAGATTGCGAAACCTAAATTATATTATAGGTTAGGTCACAAAAATTATTTTTTTAAAACAACGAAATGTTACTTACTTTTTGGAAGTAGAAACAATTCATGTGCATTAAGTTAAATTTATTTTCCGAATTGAAAATTAAATATAAGGTTTTTTTTAACCATCTCTCGAATATATTTTTTTATTTTATTAAATGCAAATAAATAAATATTCCTCAGGAATTTTTGACGCCTTTGTGGGATATATTTTGTTTTCGCATTTTTCATAGATGAAGAGTCAGAAGAGATTTTCCCATAGCTTAACTATAGTATTAGGATTGCGAAAGGCGGATCAGAAAACCAATTCAAGACGTTGAATATAAGGAAAAGAAGGATTGTAACTTTAAAGCTGTCTGCTCACAAAGGAAGCATTTCAGCGCATGAAGCTGTTAGGCAAGTCAAGGAGATGATAAGAGGATCAACGAAATTGTTTGTATTCCCACGTATTGGCTCTCAGCTATTGCCACTTTTTCATCGTTGCCACTTGACAGCGTAAGACGGTTAGCGAACGAACAAATTGGTCTCGGGATTGTGGTTTTCTATACACATTTTCAACAAACCAAGTCAAAACTGATTCAATCTTTTACTAAACGATTGTTGAGCGTATGTTAATATTTTCACATTGTCACGATCAAGTATAAAGCGTTTAAACATCCGGGCACATCAATTTCCCATAAAAATTTTTATTTTAAAAAATTTTATTAGGTGTAATTTTTTTTTTAGAAGAATTTCAGTTTTTTGAATAAGCATCTGACACACGGAGAGAAATCTGGTGCGATTTACGCATGAGCATGTCCTTAGGAATATAGTAACAGACGCTTTCAAGCAAAAATCCTAAGTGAGCGAGGTATTATTGTATGAGTCTCACCTGATATTCAGATGGAATCTTATGGTTTTTGCTTGGAAGTGTCCATGCTATATTCCTATGGACTTGCTCATGCGCAAATCGCAGCAGATTTCTCTCCGTGCAGAATTTCTTTTTAAATGAATTTTTACTGAATAGATTTTTTAGGTACTGAATTTTTATTTTACAGAATCTCTTTTTACCAACTTTAAATGATTCTATTTTAGCTTTCTATATTACCGACCGGTTAAAGATTTAACTACATGTAAGTACAGCGCTGACAGTATTTTAATTTTTCTTTTTGCAGATTCTATCCTCGATGGCTTGTGGTGTTACGTACTGCAAAAATAAGGGCAAAAGTAATAAAGGGTATCTTGAAGGACACGGAATTCTTCATATTCAGACTTTTTAGAACTCAGTCTATTTTTTTGAAAGTAGGGATCTCCGAGGGCCATGTAGTTTGAAAGAATCTCCTTGAAGCTGAAAATTCGTTATCAAGGTAAATATTTTAATTAATTGGAAAAGGCTTTCGAAGTTGTCACTTTGTATTGTTTTCATGTCGCACAGTGGGCTAAAATGTTTTTTTTTCTGTTTCAAAATCAAAAAACTTTTGATAGAATTGGACCAATATTAATAAATCAAAAACGAAATGAAAGATTATTTGCTAGAGCAATATAATTCAAAATGTCGGTAAAAATGTAACAAATTTTTAAAATCGATTGATTTCGCTTGAAATTTGTTACTCGAAGGTTTTTGGGGTCACTAATTATACGAATCTGGTGTCAGTTTATAAAAATTCAAAATGGCAGATCCAATATGGCGGATAAAATTTGTAAAATTTTATTGAATTGATATGAAACTCGTTACCTGGGGGTTTTCGAAGTCGCTGATTACGAATTTAACGTTAGTTTTTAAAAATTCAATATGGCGGACATAATTTGCTAAATGTTATTGAATTCGCATAACATTTAGCAAATTCAACTAAAGCTGTTAGAGGCAATACATTTTTTTTTGTTGATTCGGCAAAAATTCTGATGTTTCGGGACGCATGATTATGCTCTAAAAATCATTAGTTAGAATTTTCATTTCATGGAATTTCATATTTGTCATAATTATTTTTGAGCCGAATTTTCACTTGTTCGAATTAGTATTTTGCAGAATTTTCATCAAACCGATTTTCTACATTACAGAAGTTTTACTTAACCGAAAAATAATTTAACAGAATTTCTAATTGATAAAATTTTCATTTGTCCGAAATTTGCAAATGGCCGAAAAAACAATCGACAGAAAGATTTCGGCGCGATTTTTTAAATCCAACAATAAAAAATTATCCATAAAATTGTGATTGGTTTGATTTTTAAAATCACGCCTAAATCTTTCTGTCGATTGTTTGTTCGACCATTTGCAATTTCGAACAAATGAAAATTCTATCAATTAGAAATTCTGTTAAATTATTTTTCAGTTAAGTAAAAATTTTGTAGTATAAAAAATGGGTTATGTGGAAATTATATCAAATAATAATTCGAACAAATTAAAATTCATCTGAAAGAATAAAATGAAAATTCTATACAATGAAATTCTACCCAATAAAAATTCTTTAAAATGTCTAATATCTTTCTTATTATATTAAGTTCTAAAACGACCGACACCGACCGACACCAAAAACAACTTTTTCGTTTTCTTTTTGAAATTATTTACAGTTTTCCTTCAAAATTTGAAATCACATGCCTTACATACATGTCTATTCAAAAAAAAATGCCTAATTTTTTTTTGCGCGATTTTTTGCAAAAAAAATTTTTTGCAATTTTTTGCAATTTTTTATTTTTTTACGATAATAACACAGAAAATACGTCACTATTTTAAATCTCAGCTAAAAAAAAATTTTTTTCACAAAGTTATGGCGATATTCAATTTCCCTCATATCTTTCTTATTATATTAAGTTCTAAAACGACCGACACCGACCGACACCAAAAAAAACTTTTTCGTTTTCTTTTTGAAATTATTTACAGTTTTCCTTTAAAATTTGAAATCACATGCCTTACATACATGTCTATTAAAAAAAATGCCTAATTTTTTTTTGCGCGATTTTTTGCAAAAAAAATTTTTTGCAATTTTTTATTTTTTTACGATAATAACACAGAAAATACGTCACTATTTTAAATCTCAGCTAAAAAAAAATTTTTTTCACAAAGTTATGGCGATATTCAATTTCCCTCATATCTTTCTTATTATATTAAGTTCTAAAACGACCGACACCGACCGACACCAAAAACAACTTTTTCGTTTTCTTTTTGAAATTATTTACAGTTTTCCTTCAAAATTTGAAATCACATGCCTTACATACATGTCTATTCAAAAAAAAATGCCTAATTTTTTTTTGCGCAATTTTTTGCAAAAAAAATTTTTTGCAATTTTTTATTTTTTTACGATAATAACACATAAAATACGTCACTATTTTAAATCTCAGCTAAAAAAAAATTTTTTTCACAAAGTTATGGCGATATTCAATTTCCCTCATATCCTTCTTATTATATTAAGTTCTAAAACGACCGACACCGACCGACACCACAAACAAATTTTTCGTTTTCTTTTTGAAGTTATTTACAGTTTTCCTTCAAAATTTGAAATCACATGCCTTACATACATGTCTATTCAAAAAAAAATGCCAAATTTTTTTTTTTTTTTAAGTTATTTGCATGAATTTTGCAAAAATTTCTATTATGAAACTTGTATTTAATATTACATCATTTTCTGTCTTTTTTGTCTTCGGATTGAAAAGGTAGAAAATAAATACTATTTATGAAATTCATTTAAATATTGTGGTTTTATTATTATGTTACATCTGGTCATTTTTTAATCTTATTTTTTCTCTATATTTAATTTTTTTTTCTCTCCCACGTTTCTCATCCTTTTAAAGAAAAACAACATCTGTTTATTTAAAAAATCATGTTCTTTCTTGTACTCATCGACTCATAATGTATCTGTTTTTTCTCTTGTTGCCTTTTTAAGCAGATAATGAAGCGTGAAACCTTAGTGGTCAACATTTACCAGAATGCACTTTTTCCAAAAATCTAAGAAACTGAAACATCCGTAAGCAATAAAATTATAAAATACAACCATAAAAATCTTTTCGAACTCTACAAGTGCATCCTCCAGATGTCGACCGCTGGGGTCCTTTTCCTTTCATTTTCGTTTTTCTTACGACAGGTCCGAGAGTCCCTGTCGCCAAGAATTCCTTCTGTTTGTAATAAAATTTGTCTAGGTTCCGAAAATATATATTATACTAAAATTCACACACATATAAATTTTTAATAACAATTAACTTTAATAATTAATTTCATTATTATTATTAATAAATAATTAAAATGTTATTTTTCAACAATTTATATTAAATTTTAATAAAAACTAATAATTGTCAAAATTTATAATTGATTATTGTTTAAAATTATTAATATAAGTAAAATTAATAATAAAAATTATAAAAAATATAAAATTAATAAATAAACAATTAAAATTTAATACAATTTAACCATAATTAAATTATATTGATATTTAACAATAAATAATTATAAATAATTAAAATTTTAAATAATTACAACTATAATTTGTAGGTTAGGTTAAGTTATTATACAAATTAGTTAAAATTAACAATAATTATAGAAAATTATAAATAAATTAGATCTAACAAATGAATTATTCTTAAAAATCGTCGTAGAACCAAAATTTAAAAAGGGTTATGTAAATTAAGTCAAATAATAATTGTTAATAACAAATTATAATAAAAATTATTATTGTTTATAACAAAAAATTAATCTAATTGTAAAAAGATGTAAAATATAAAAGATCTCTCCTTCTTTGAGATTTTATCCCTACTTTTTGGAAATCTGTTTCTTTAAGGGACAACCCACAAAAAGTCTAAATTTTGAGTGGGGATAGACCCTTAAAAACGCATGTTTGCGTAAGTCAGCATCTCATTTAAAAATTTTAAGACATTCAAAAATTTTACATTCACACAAAAAGTCACAAAAAGATTTCATTTCTACAATTAAACTCATAAGAGTTCTTTCAAAATTCTACATTCAAAAGTTATTCAAAGATCTACATTTCTACATTTAAACTCATAAAGAGTCATAAAAGCTATTCAATTTTTACATTTTCTACATTCAAAAATTATTTTCAACATAAAAATTCGTAATCAAATCAAATTCTAAAAATTATTCAAATTTTATTTTTAAAAGTTCAGTGAAACTTTCTACGTTTATTACCGAATAAGAAATTATCAAAGAAGGACGAATAATCTAATATTTTGCATCTTCAGGGAAAATTATCTTTGATAAATAAAAAGTAAGTTTTAAAATTATATTTTTTATCTTTATCTTATTTCTTTTTGAAAAACTTCTTTCACTATCTAAAAATCTTTCACAATTTCCCAATTCCAAAGAATACTGCCGTATTAAAGCTGGCGGTTATTCTTTAAAATTGTATTATTTTTGACCTATGTGTTTCCTTATTATTTTCAACCTTTGATTCCTAAATTTGTTAATGTCACTTTATGTAGTTGTGACTAACAAATTTTAATCCTTATTTTATGTATTCCTTATATATTTTTCAATTTCTATAAGAAAAATTCAATAGATAACCAAAACTAATTCCCAAGCTATTGGATGAGAATCCAGGCTTAAAATAGTAATTAAATTTTTATAGCTATAATTTTAATTGGAAATATAAAATTTTTAATTATTATTATTTGTTATAAAAATTTATAAAATAATATTTATGTTACATTACGTAACATAGATTAAATTTTTGGAGGCCCCGGAGGGATAGTTTTGGTTTGATTTCTATTGAATTTTTCTAATCTTTTCTTATATATTTTTCTATATACGCGTCATTATGGATTATATTCCCAAATCAATCAATTTAATTACATTTAAAAATAAATCTGAGTTCATAAATAAGATAATTCATTTTTTTTTCAAATAATTACAAAAATTATAAATTTTTTTTTTAAATAAAATTTATTTGTTTATAAAATTTATTTGTGTATAAAAAAAAGACTTAATAAGAAATTGTTAAATAAATTATATTCTTTTGTGTAAGAGTAAAACATAAAATTCTACTCTCATGGTCCCTTATAGGGTCCCCTATTTGTATAATAGCTAGGTCGCGCTGCCGCGTAACGCCGGCAGTACTTCGTATACCTGCCGCGACCCGAGCGTTATCTCGCGAACGCGAAGTCCCTCGCGGTTTTTAATATCATTTTTGATTTTTCTATCTTATGACTAATTATAAAAAGTTAAAAAAATTAATTATTTAAATAAATTTTATAATAAATACTCTTTTTATAAAAATCACGTTGTGGATGCTTGTGACTCTCGCTGAACGCGTTGTGTGAGGGGAAACAGACCCTTACTAGTTAGACGGTTGACTGGGTCAGCCATATACCGGCCATAACTACTACCAACATTCGGCCATATTGAATATACTCTAGTAGTTTC